GGTCAAGGGTGAATTCTCATATCCTCTCTTACCTTACTTATCCAAAAAAAGTGGTAATCCCCCCCCCCCCATTTAAAAATCCTGGCTACGCCACTGCTACCAACTACTCATAAATGTTATGATATAAAAAAATCGTGTTAATAAGAGTTTCTTTTTTTAATTAAGGTTAGGTAGTAAAATAATATATATTATATTTATATATTATTTGTTATTATATATAATAATATATATACTCTCTGGAGACAGTCGTGTATTTCAAATACAATAAGAAAATAACTTTTGTCATGCATCTTAACAGTAATGTATAATAGTTGCAATTCATAAATCATAACACAAATAATATTTAATGCGTAAAATCCAGTTTTTTTTTTTTTAATTAAAAATATTAAAATATTTGATCCAAAAAATTGATGAAAATAATATTATGCTCAAAAATACTTTAATTTTATGAAAATTATTTAAATATCAATTTAGCTACATTACTTTTACTCAAATTCTTTATAGTTGCAACATTTCTTAAATTCTTAATGGTAAATATTAATTATTATATATTTTTTTTATAGTTAAATAGTCGTAAGATGATAATGGTTCTTTATAACATTTTCATTGTTATTATTTTTTTATTTAAAAATAATTCTCGACATAACAAGCTATTGGTAGTACAAGATTTAATAACAATGAAAATTGTAAATTTAAACATCTACTGAAATACTAAGATTTTTACAAATATTTTTTGTATAGGTTTTAACTCTAAGACTTTGTTAGGTGTGTGTTAAATGAGATAATAATAAAATATATAATACAATTATAGATAATAATTATTTACAATATGATTTTCTATAATTTACTTTGCAATTATTTATTTTATAAATCCCATGGTAACTGTAAGTGAGGTTGGATTTTGACCGAGCCTTCGATAATTCTTCAGGTACATTTATACACTTTCTGTTGTATGAATGTATTCAAATGTTGTTATTATGCATATAACGGTTATCTGAGTAACCCAAACTGGGTATATTGAACATATTTTATACTTATTGAGTGGATGTGGGAAATAACTTCGGATTATCTAGGTCATTATATTGGAGATGACCGTGGCATAACATTTTGTTTTATTCCGTGCAGTTTTGTACGCGAAGATCTCTTTAGCTTTCACACCACATCTGGTTGCATAAGATAGTAATTAGAGATTATGGCTAGCCAGAAAATTTTTTTTTTTTTTTTTTTATGAATGGTTTCAATTACTTTTTATCTTCTCCATACGAGTAAATACCAACTTTTTAATTTTAATATGTCGACTAAACATAAGTTAAATTATAAAATCTGTTTAGTTATTTAGTTTATTGAAACTGGATTAATTAACAATCTTCAAAAAAATATATATATATATTTATATACATATACATAAAAATAACTTATATTTAAAAATTAATATTTTATTTTCTTGAATGCTTAACAAGTTTTTTTAATTTGTCATTAGATTTGATAATAATACCACGATGTATGTACTCGTATAAAAATGTCCAATTATACCTATGTCTTATTAAAAAGAAAAGAGGGAGTTATAAACAATTAACACCCTGGCTACGCCACTGATTAGAGAAATTACGTCTTGTTTAAATTTTATATGAACTGTTTTTGTTGAAGGGTTAGGCGTAATTTGGAGCATGATCTACAATTTAATTCCCTTTGATATTTGAATGTCCGGTATCCAACACAGTGGCGGTCAGTGGCGCACACAGGATTTTTTTTCGAGGGGGGAATTCAAGGTAAAAATATAACACGTTTTACAATTAACAAAATTATGCAAATCCTTAATATATTTTGACTTAAATAATAGCATTGATAATAAAATAGACTATTCTATAATCAATGATACTAGGTATTCAATACTAGCTCTTCATATTTCAAACTTGTAAAATTTGTAAATTTAGTCTAGACATCGGAGAAAATTTGAGGAAGGTAAACCCCTTAACCCCCCCTCTCTGCGTGCGCCACTGGTGGCGGTTAAACATGATATTCAAATAGAGGGAAGCGAAATAAAGTCAACCCATCCCCTCTCCATAGCATTTTTAAATTTATATTATATACATATTATATAAAATATACATACGGATTATAGGTGTAAATGTATAATAATCTTTATATATTAATAATATTAACACACTTTAACATTAATGTACAAAAAAAAAATATAAATGTAATGGCTTATAAAATTTGAAGATAGGTGTTGTTGGACCAGCGATATACTAAATTTATAAAAAAACGAATCCCGAGGGTGCGAACAGCCTATCAGTCACTCTACCCTTATAACCGGCACTGATCCAACATATTTCATTATAAAATTTGTTTTTTTTTTTGTGTAGCTGGTTATATGTTTGTTCATTTAGATCATTCGTATTATATAAATTTTAGGATGATTAATTGCGTTAAGGCAGCAGTTCCACAACTTTTTTGGTTCATCATCCCCAAAAGGAAAAAAATCTAATCGCGTGTCCCATGAATAAATAAAACAACATTTTTTTTATTATTTTAATAAAAGCAAATTACTGTTGATCTAAAAATAAATATAGTAAGTGTATTATACAGTATAAATATTTGTTTTGCGCCTCCTCTATTAAGGACTTGCGCTTTTATAGGGAGTCGCGCCTCAATGTTTGGGAACCACTGCATTAAGGGTTTTGAGAAGATAATTATATTTGGTATCTTTGAGTGGATGATTAAATTTATGGCTTTGAGGATTGCATATGATTCCGTCGTAAAAATTAAATATACGTTGAAGTGCTTATTTATATATATTTTGCTTCATTCCATATTACTAGGGCACGAATGTTGTTGCATTTGCAAATTTTCTTCTACTGTTCTAATTTATTGCTAAGTAAGTTTTAAATGCGTTTCGTATAGATAGATACGAATGGAAATCTAAAAATTTAAAATGCAATTTTTCACAATTTTTTAAATTTTTTGAATTTTGTTGAAATTTTGTTGACTTTACTCATTTATAAAAACAATTTAAGCTATTTTTTTTATTTTTTTACAACATTTCAATTCTTTAATACTTTTTTAATGGTTTTATAAAAATTCCATGAAATAAAATTGTTAAATTGTTTAAAGCCTAAAGTACATGATTTACTGATATATATTGTTTATGTATTTAATTGTCTATTGATATTATTGTAAGTATAGTTAAAACGATAGTTTGATTATTTTTAAAATTGTATCGGTTTCGTCATACTGTGATTATCGGATTCACCGTATTTACAATGCGTTTAGATAAGATTATATATTTAACACAAAAATTTTTGAAAAGGTTATTAAAGTTATTAAAAAAATACCGTATTTGAAACCTTAAGTATAATAAATGATTTACTGACTGAAGAAAGAAAACTGTTAGATGGTTTACTTGAAGATTTGACCGTAAGCTTAGGGGCGGCTCCAGAGCCTTGGTTGGGGGGGGGGGGCAAAATATAATTTTACAAAATCTTATAACAAAAAGAAAACACAAATTCAAATTGTCTATTTTTGAAATTGGCAAAAATATCAATAATATGATCTATTTGATCTAAAATATCTACTTTATGATATACATTAATCAGACATGATGCTGATTGTCTATCTTCAGTTATCCTTGAACGAAGCCAGGTTTTTAGTCTTCGAAGTGTAGAGAAACTCATTTCAACCGTCATACTTCTATAACTCTATTTAGATACTTGTGTCGTATAATATTCCATATTATAATATGCATTTTTTGTTAACAATATAAATTTTTTTATAAATACGATACAGGCTTGGGGGGCACAGACCTTAGGCCTCCCCCTTGGAGCCGCCCCTAGTTAAGCTATTTAGTTTATTTTAAGTACGCTCGGCTCACACGAAATAGAACGATGTTTTTCGAAATATAAAAACTTACTGGCTCCAAACCAAAGAACATTGGATTTTGAAAATGTAAAAAAAAAATACTTACAGTTCAACGCAACAACATTTTTAAGTATATATTTTTTTATATTTCATATATACATGTTTATAAATTCTAATTAATGAGTCAGTGATATGTAATATATAAATTACAATAAGTTAATAGCAGATAAAATAAACGTAATTTTATAAATTATAACGTAACGTTAATTTTTTAGTGTAATTTTAGATTCTTTCAAGTGCAATTTTTGATATATTTTAGTGCAATACTGCAATCAATTTTACTACTTTAGTACTACTACAATATCCGTGTCCTACAAATTATCGATACTCCAGCATATATAATCATTATTTGAATCACTCATTTATATTGCACTTGTTGCAATTAATTTTACGTGAAATTATAATATAATAAACTAATCATAGCAGACGAATTTGAAAATATTATCAATCGACGTAAATATTTGTGAACAATTTAAATCAACGGAAATAGTGAAAGGGGGTGCTATAGAACGGAGCTCTTCGAAGACATTAAATTGTAAGAGCATGCCACACACCCTTACTAATGATGTTCAACGCAATTACTTATGGAATACTTTTCACTAATTGTTTTTATAACGCGAACAATAACATTGTCTTTGTAATAAATATTTGTTTTTAGTAAGGATGAACGTTCATTCGTGATATCATGAAAATATTTGTTTTGACTATTATTATTTATCAATTATTTGTATTTTTCGTCATTACGATGGGAAACGAGGGGAAATAAGAGGACGAGCGAATAATATTGTCGCGGTGGACAAGAGTTGCAACTTTTTTATTTATCCAACCCGAGGACCGTGCCCCGGAAGAAGTCCACTCAGTGGTCTCGTTTTACGCGCGCGATAGTGCGAGAGTATAAAAATACACACGTAAATGTGCATAAACGCATATTATTACGGCATAGCAGCGTGCCGCCGTTATCATCGCCCATGATGCATAATATTTTGTAAGCGCGTGCGCGAGCATCCACCGCACACTCGGTAACCGTCATCAGCGCGCGTGCGTGCGTCCGTTAACGCGTGCGTGCATTGGCGCCGCGTGCTTGCGCGTACACGGTTGTCGCGACGACCGAAGTCGGTTACCACACGACTATCCGCTGCCGCTGCCAGTCAGTGCTTTGCCCGTCCGTTGCAGTGCAGTTGTAAAATGCTGTTGTGCTCGACCGGTCGGCGTCTAGCAGCACCAGTAATAGCGACAGCGGTGGTAGTTGTTGAAGAAGGCAGCAGCCGTAGTGTAGCCGTTTGCCACGATAGTCGTGCAGTGCACAGCGCGTGAGAAAATGGCCGCACCGTCGTCCACCGCAGCCGTTGCCGCGTCTGAAAACTCCGTTGTCTCCGTCGCCGCAACCACAAACGCGCCTTTGACTTGCTCCGGTCCGATAGCCACCACCGCAGCGTCCGCCACTGCATCGGCCGCAGTTGCTTCTGCGACCTCCGCGGCTGCGTCCAACGTGTGGCCGAACACCAGAGACAGTTACGAACTCCTCGAAGTTATCGGTAATGCTTATCATCGTAGCTTGCATATTAATACGTACTTTTCTTCTCTCTCACTCCTCACACTCTTTCGATCGGGGTTTTTTTTTTATTTTACTCTCTTATCATTTTTTGCTCGTTGTTATCGTCTCGGTTTCATTCAACACTGTGTGGTCTATTGTTGACTCAACTTTTCTAGTCTACGGACGGAAACAGATGGTGACGAATAAATTATTTGTTTTCCCTTCTTCTTATTTTTACCGTGGAACAATAATACATTTTATTGTACGTGACGACGTTCGTCTTCAGTTTTTTGTTCGTGACGCTTTCTCTCCCCCCCTTGACCGGTATACGTGCTCTGACTACCCGTCACCCACCGCTGGCAAACACCGGTCGGTTGACGTTTATATTTACATTTCACCCTCATTTTTATAGGTTATATGGTCGAAATGTTCGATATAATCCCGACTACAATGCGTCCGATGTAAATATGTGCTTGTTATCGGCTGCAGGATCGTCTCTCCTATCTCTCCCGACCATCACGTGAGAAGAGCGTTTCTGAAGAATTTACATTGAGGCTTAATGCTGAAACCATTGTTAAAGAAGTTCATAAGTGTTTTATTTAATTAATGAGTCATAGCTTTCTATAGATCACGGGGTATCATCCCAAATACGTCTCACTCTCCTCCACCCATTACACAAGATATGTTCAGTCGCACCTGTTTGGCACGAATTATCGATCGAAAAGACGATACAAACCTTATCATTTTAATTGTATTTATTGAACAGACTCGATTCGTATGATATTCGCGACGTTTCGATGGTGGAACGCACCGCTAATGTCGTCCATTCCCTCAGTAATATTCTCATTCATTATATTATTATAATTTTCATCAAAACGCTCGGCGCCGATGGCAGAAATCACGGTTATAGCCACGGCCAACCACGCGTCAAGTGGATTCGGTGACTATGAGTATTGTGGTTTTAGAATATTATTTGCATTAAACACATCATAATAATATTTATAGATTTCCCATTCTTATTCACCGTATAGAATACGTGTTGATAGGAAATCAATCACCCCTTAATTTCGTTTTTTAATGACTTGTCTAATTATAATATACCATTATATAATATCATCCACGTGTAAATAACTTGTAAAAATCGATTTTTACCAATTTTTTTTTACAAAAGATAAACAACAATTTATAGCTTGACAAATATAGGTCAAAATGTTCTCTTCTGATTCTTTTATTTATTACATTGTTTTCGGATTTATCTCATGTAATAATAAGAATGCCATGTTGCCATCACATTCAGTTATTAACATCCTTCCCAAATCATATACAAAAATAGTATTAGTACATAGTGTAAGCTTAATATATCAACCATTAAATTGATTTTATTTAGCTGTCGGAGCTGTAACTCCACTGTGTAGGTACATACTATTTAACTACAGCTGTTGCAATTTCATAATATGAGTAAACACTGTAGGTACTTTTTATATGTCACCTGTATGTATAATATCTACATTGGAACCACTTAAGTTGATGAGCAATTAAATTCATTGAATCTGATAAACTTATTCTTAATTAATTTAGAAGTTGAAAACTTGTTACTAAAGTTTGATATTTTTTTTATAATTTTACATAAAATGAATATTTACCTCCTGATATTTTCTAATCACATCATTTTTTTTTTAAGCTATAAGTAATTCTAGAGGTCCTGAGTATTATCCTCATGTTTATCAACAAAATTTTAATCTTTAGAATTATGTTGAATTTTATTTCAAATAATCAAGTTAAATCTAGTAAAAATCTAGTAAAAAATGTGTCTCAATAAATGTTGATTTTTAATTTTTTCAGTACTATTGAGTATAATAACTCAAAGATGTGTTGTATTCAAAAATGTCATCCCTTGGAAGGAAGAATGAATAACAAATTATATTAACTTTAAGTTGTGAAGTTTTTTTTTTTTTTGTGAAAGTTCTAAAGTTATTATATGCTATTTTCTAAGTATATTCAATTTTTTCAAAATAAATGTTATTGATTTTTATCCACCATAATTTCTATTAGGTAGTTAATACAATTATATAAAACCTAAATTTATCATTTACTAATTTTAATAGATAAATAAATAAATAAAAGCTTAGCCTGGAGTATTATATTTGTAAAGTATGACCGGTTTCAAATTAAAAATTTATTACCAGGTATATATACAAAGTCAATAAAATCGTGATATTAAATTTTTAATTTAATTTTTATTTTTTATTACTTTATTATTTATTAATTTTAGTCATATTTATTATAATTTAATTCTTAATAAATCTTTAAATTTTTAGGTGTTGGCGCTACAGCTACTGTCCACTGTGCGTATTGTAAACCTCGACAAGAAAAATGTGCCATTAAAAAAATTAATTTAGAAAAATGGAATACCAGTATGGACGAATTAACAGTAATTATCCATTCATTATATTTTACTAGATTATTTTACCAGACATATTTTTCTTTATTCAGAAAGAAATCCAAGCAATGTCATGGTGTCAGCATGAAAATGTTGTTACATATCATACTAGTTTTGTAGTTGGTGATGAATTATGGTTAGTATTGCGTCTGCTAGAGGGAGGATCTTTGCTTGATATACTTAAACATAAGATGCGCACAAGTGATTGTCGTCATGGTGTTCTTGATGAAGCTACTATTGCAACTGTTTTAAGAGAAGTGTTAAAGGGATTAGAGTATTTCCATTCTAATAGTCAAATTCATAGGTAAATTCAACTAAATATCTTTATAAATATTTCAACTAATATTTGTTTTACATTTTGTAGAGACATTAAGGCTGGTAACATTCTTTTGGGTGAAGATGGAACAGTTCAAATTGCTGATTTTGGAGTGAGTGCTTGGTTGACAACTGGTTATGATACAAATCGTCAGAAAGTTCGACATACATTTGTTGGTACACCTTGTTGGATGGCACCGGAAGTCATGGAACAGGTACACACGGTAAAAGCAAAACATTTAATTAAAATAAATGCAATCGGTGAACACCGACCACCAAGCTCGAAACCCTAAATCGTCCGTCCAAAAATTCATTAGGATCATGGATATGACTTCAAAGCCGACATATGGTCACTGGGAATCACTGCTATTGAGCTAGCTACTGGAACAGCACCATATCACAAATATCCACCTATGAAAGTTCTAATGTTGACTCTTCAAAATGATCCACCAACATTAGATACTGGTGCCGATCAAAAGGATCAATACAAAGCTTATGGCAAAACTTTTCGAAAGCTTATTACTGATTGCTTACAGAAGGATCCTACTAAGAGGTTATTATATATATAAATATATATTGATGAGTTTTGTATTTATATTTATGTTATAATAGGCCTACGGCCACTGAACTTCTCAAACACCCGATTTTTAAAAAAGCCAAAGATAAAAAATACCTCCAATCAACTTTAATTGCCATTGGACCAAGTTTGGAAACTAGAGTTCAAAAGGTAAATTTAATATGAAAAAGAGAAATCTAAATTATTTTTCTTTATTTTTGTAGACAATAATATTTATAACAAAGACATAAATATAAAAAATAAAAAAAATAAATAAGTCATCTATTTTTCAGGCATCAAAAAGACAACCTGGTACATCTGGCAGATTACACAGGACAATAACTGGTGAGTGGACATGGTCATCTGAAGAAGAATGTGCTGGACAATCATCTGATGATGAAGTAAATTTAATTAGTATATTCTTAAACTTTTAAAGGTATTTAATATTTTTAAACATAATTGCTTTATTTTTCATTATTTAGTGTCAAGAAAAACCATTAAACAAATTAATTGAAGTCCCACAATCATCTGATAGTGAACAAGAAAGTGGTGATGAACATTTAAATCTTGTCTTACGAATGAGGTTTGCTATAAAAAGTTAAATTTTATTTAGTTATCTAATGATCCTAAAAATTAAAATATACTATAATATATATAAAATTATCAAAACCAGTTAAAATGGTACAAATGGTTCAAATGGTACAATAAAATTAAGAGTATAATATTGTAAAATTATATCTTAATTCATATTTTCTAAATCATTATTAAATATTTTTAAAATGCATTTTTAGAAGCGACCAAGTTGTATTGGTATCAAATTACTTGAAATATAGGACCTCAACTTATTTAGTTAATTTTTAGTTTTTTTTTTTTTTGGTAAATCAAAAATCATTCACTTTTAATTTATTTAGTAACTTTGTTATTTCTTTTAAAATTATGAACTCAAAAAATTCCTTTGAGTACTTCTAAAATAAGTTTTTTTTTAACTGGTAATAAAAATATTTGTTTTATGTATTTATAAATATCTGTATTGATCTTAGTGCCAAAATCTATATTTAATTATTAGGCAAAAATTTCTTTAAGTTATCTATCCAATGACCTTTCACGTAGAAATTTCTAATGTGAAAATTCTACTCATTGCCTTCTTCTCACCACCTCTTTTTAATTATTTTGTTCACATTTACTTATTGTGCCATTTATTAAATAAATAAATATATATATATGTAAAGATTATAAATTTTCATGAATAAACATTTAAAAAAAAAAAGTTATCCATTTCTCAAATATAAATTATGATATATTAATTATAATTGTATTTTTAGAAATTCTAACCGTGAACTTAATGACATACGATTTGAGTTTTTACTGGGAAATGATACACCTGATGGTATTGCTACTGAACTAGTGGGAGCAGGATTAGTAGATGGCAGAGACGCTGATGTAATAGCTATGAATTTACGGGTGCTGATAGGCAATCAAACTCGGGATAGACCTGTTACTTTTGCTCTTGTAAGTATAAAGTTTATTTTACTTAGTGAAATAGTTACTGAATTATTATTTGTGATTTAGGTTTCTGGCTGCAATACTGATGAAACACCTGATGAAAAAATGTTAGTTGGTTATGCCCAGTTGTCTTATGCAGATTGAAAGCATAGTTACCGAAACAACTTAAATACGTCTTTTGTGCCACTAGAACATTTAACTCTGTATGTTTTAAATAACATTTTGTATATATATATATTTTTTAAATATAATTATTTATTTTTGTACATAATATCTTAATTCAGATTTTGAATAAAGATTAATGCTTAGCAAGAACATGCTTATGTTTAGTAAACTGTGTTTCGGTGTACCACATTTTTATAGTTGTTACTTAATTCCAAATAAATTTGTTTCATTATTATTCTGTTTATATTTATTATTTATTTCATTTTATTATAATTTCCTTTATAAATATCTATGCTACTGTGTTTTTTACAGGTTAATTATATTGATTTTTAATTACTAAGTTTTTTAAATTTCTAAAGTGGTCACTTAAAGGTGTGCATATATTAGACAATTTAAGGTGGTAACTAATAATTTTAACAAATAAAAAATTGAACCTATTGTAGAGGTTGACTATTATTGACAATACCAATTCTTCATTATTATTGTTCAGAACTATGAAGTATGAGGTTAAATCTAAATATGTTGAACATTATATCTTAAAAGGCGATAAAGTAAATTTATAAAGGTATTGTATTTGAAATATACAATTTAATATGTTATACCATTCATACTTTACGATAATATTAACTATTTTTAAATATTTATAAAAAATATCTAACTTAATTTCAAGTTTCAATACTGATAATGATTGGTGTTAAATAATAATAATTTAATTGGTATTTAATTATTAAACACAATAAACAATGCAAATTATGATAAACTATTCTTTAATGAAAGATTCTTGACATAATGTACATTAATACTTTGGATTATGTAAAATTAATACAATTTTTTTAAGTTCAGTCTGCAATATTGCCAAAATTATTTTATTATTTTTTTAAATACAGAAAACATTCATTTATTTACCTATTAAAAGATCACCTATTAATTAGGTTAAGTTCATTGTCAAGTTTGGGCTTATATTTTAATAATTTGGCATACTCTTGTAATAATGTTTCCCAATACCAAGTAATATCCTTCATTCTCAAATGGGTTCTAATAAATCGATAACCTTGTTCAGCAATTTCTTTGGCTAAATCATCATGTTCTTTGAAAAATACTAAAATATTTCTGGAATAGGTTAAAATAACTTTGTATTAAACAGTAACTATATATTATTAATTGAGTTACTTAATATCTTTTTCGGATGCATTTGGATTTATTGGTACATAATGATACCAAGGTTTCATGAATTGATAAAAAAACTCTTTCCAATCTTCACCAACATGAAAAACTAAACTTTTACATAAGAAGAGGTGTTTGAAACGAAAACTAGCTGCAACGCCACGAAAATTAAATAGATATTTATATTGACAATGATCTTCTAATGATATTTCATCAGCCGGTGGAGCAAAAAGTGTATCCTATAAATATTGAGCAACTAGTTTATAATAATTAATAGAAAATATATATAGTACCTTGTCTGATTTCCATGCTTGATTTTTTGTATATGCTGCATCAACTAGTTCTGGTTGATTTCTTGATAGAAGTATGAGTGGATCTCGTTGTTCACTAGTCCTTGAACCTCTAAAAAATCCTTTGTTAATTTTGTTTTTCCATGGCCATTGTTCAGCCTGTTTTAAAATAGATTTTCTAAGAGAATCCCACCGGCCAAGTCCGGATGGATGAAGTTTGATTGCTGGTCCTCCACTCCAAAAGGACCATGCAGGATACATTATGTCAGCATAATCATCTGTCTTGGACATAAATTATTAGTTAGTATAAAGATTAACTGAGTGATTTCTTATACTAAAAATAACTGTAAAAACAAATTATAAAATAAAAATCTTACCTTGCTAAAAGAAAAAACAGGTTTAGGATCACCATAATGTTTTATAATTTGAGGCCAATCTCGTGTATTTAAAATAAACTCTACATCTGGTGTATTTAATTGAATTTTACTTAAAAAATATTCAATACCTTCACAACGAGCAGGAAACATACATTTTGCTTCTCTGTATACATCATGGTTATATATCATGTACCGAGTTCCTCTATAAATAAAAATTTAAATGAAAACAATAATTGAGTATAGAACATCATTATATATCACTTGTCTGCTGCTCCAGTAATCATTTCACGAGTAATACCATTTTTGAATGGTTCTAAATCATTCAAAATATTTGGATAAAAACAAGTTCCATTTTTTGTATAGCAAGAAGTATATTCGTTTTTAGCCTTATTAATTTTACCAATAATTTGATTAGATACTAAATAACATATAATTACATAATCCATTAAGTAACTATTATTTTACTTATCAAACACCTATAACTAATTTCAAATATTTGTATATAAATCTATTTATATCATTCATTTCGAACAACTATTAAATACAAACTCAATTTTATAAATTTTTATACTCACATTTGTCATACATATTTTTTGAACGACTATGATCATGATGGCATGCAACAGCATTGATAAAATAAAATAAAGCAAAGTTTAATGTATTCATTATTTAAAAAATGCATTAATTTAAAGGAAAACTAACAATTCTAGGTTTTTTACTTTTTTTCATTTACGATGTACCCATTTATGGATCATTTTTCAAATCCTATTTTTAAAAAAGTATTATATTACTAAGGTCATTTTAGCATAGTTAAAATATTCTCAAAACTAATAAAAATTATAAATAATATTCTAGTATAAAATATAGAATTATAAATGTCAAGGAAACTTTATTTTAGACTTCTGGTCACAATAGACAATTAACATTATGTTAAAATTAAAAATGTACACTTTAAGAACCATTTAAATGGATTGCAAAAATATGTTTTTCTAAAAAAATATCGTTATCATTATCAATGTCTGAAAAAATAATTTAAGGTTAAGTTACATATGTAATCTTTGGTTATTTTCACGGTTTATTGTTACCGTGTTCTGTTTCGTTAAAGAAGACAGTGGTAGTAGCAACAACTGTTACCCGTAACGTAGTGTTGTCTGTTTACAAGACAAAAGTCAATAAGTAGAATTGACAGAATAAAATTGATTAATTTTTTTTATTTTAGATATTGAATCTTAATGTTATTAAATTCAATTTGTTACATTCATTTTTATTGAAATAACTGTTATTAAATTAAGTTTAATTCAATATGGGTGTACCGAAATTCTTTCGTTATATGAGTGAACGCTACCCTTGCCTCAGTGAACTTGTTAAAGATTACAAAGTATTAATGCATTTTCCTAAAACTTGTTATAAGTTTTTAATTTTGACATTTTATTTGTCATAGATTCCAGAATTTGATAACTTCTACTTAGACATGAATGGTATTATTCACAACTGTTCACATCCAAATGATGATGATCCACATTTTCGTATTTCTGAAGAAACTATTTTTAAAAATATTTTTCATTATTTAGATGTATAACAATTAATTTTTTTATTTATATTTTTATATGTCTTATGTCTTCTATTATGTATGTTTAAATATTAGGTATTATATCAAATGATACAACCAAAACAATTGTTCTTCATGGCAATTGATGGTGTTGCTCCTCGTGCTAAAATGAATCAACAACGTGGCCGTCGTTTTCGTGCAGCTCATGCTGCTGCTGAACAAACAAAAGAAGCAGTCTCTCGAGGTGAAACTTTACCTTCAGAGGAACGTTTTGATTCTAATTGTATAACGCCTGGTACACCATTTATGGCACGTTTACAAACTGAACTTGAATATTTTGTTACTAATAAAATATCCAATGATCCATTGTGGAGTGATGTCCAAGTAATTCTATCAGGCCATCAGGTTCCTGGTGAAGGTGAACATAAAATTATGGATTACATTCGATATTTGAAGTCTAATCCTAAATATAACCCTAATACAAGACATTGTCTATATGGTTTGGATGCAGACCTAATGATGTTAGGACTCTGCACTCATGAGCCATATTTTTCATTGCTAAGGGAAGAGGTAAACAATTTTTTTTTATTATCACAGTGGTATTTTGTAAGTTGATTCAATCATTTTCAATTATATATTTATTATTTTTAGGTCAAATTTGGACGTAAAACAAAAAAAGAAAGTTCTGTAGATGAAACACAGTTTTTTCTTTTGCATTTATCATTAATGAGAGATTATCTTGGCTTAGAATTTCAAGAACTCAAGGAAACTTTACCTTTTGACTATGATTTGGAGTCTATAATTGATGATTGGGTAATATTTGATTACTATATGGATACTAATATAATTGTGTTGAGTTTAAACTTAAAATCCATCTAGTTATTAAACATGTTAACTGTCACTAGCCCGCCAGCGGCTTAAGACAGGTATGTTAATATGGTTGCCATTTAGGTTATCAGCGGTTCCAATCTCTCATTTTATTCAATAGATTATATTTTTTGATGGCTTAGAGATGAAAAATTCCTAATGATACTGCTGGTAAACTTGTCAATATGTCAAGTATAGCTAGTATTGCAGATTTTTATTTAATTACATCTTTTAAAACATATTTTAAATTTTTTTTAATTTTGTTCTTTAAAAAAATAATTATTTTATAAAAATATTGGTTATTTTTAATTTTTAAAAATTAAGTTATTAATCATATTATGTATTTATGGTTTAAAATTGTTTTCTGATTCTTGGAAATAAAAAGATTGAATAATTGTTAAGTTACTAAAGAAATTGGTATAATTTATGAATGTTTTTAGGTGGTACAAAAATTAGATTTTATGTTTATTTTAATTCTAAATTAATAATTTATTTATTATTTTTTAAATGTTTATATTTTTATTATCCTTATATAATGGTAAATGATAAGCACCAGAACTATAAAAAAAATAAAAAAATAGGAAAAGTATAATGCAGCGGTTCCCAAAGTGTTTGCTGTAGTGCCCTAGTATGCTGCGATGTCTGTACAGGGGTGCCATACCGTCATAAAATGCTATCTGGTATGATATGGGAAATAATGTCCTGAAAAAGCCGTAGATCAAAAAGGGCGCCGTGAGTCAAAAAAGTTTGAGAAGCACTGGTATAATCCGATAAAACTTTGAAGATATTTTTTATTTTAATATAAATTAATCAATTCTATTTCCTATATAAATTGTAATGCTAAGAATTTTGAATAAGTTGAATTGAGATTTTCTGGTCTTAATAAAGTAAATTAGTTCAATATTTATTACTTTGTCATTTGGTTATTTTAAATGTTAATTGGTAATTATAACTAAATTAATTTTAAGTATATAAATTGTATATTTTAATGACTTTATACATTTAAAACAATTTGTATATTTGTTAATTATTTTCTAAGAAAATAGCTTAGTGATTATATCATTAAAAATTAAAAATGTAGATTGGGAAACTAGAGGCAGCAATAAAAGTTATTTTAAACCTCTTATTATCTATTTAATTAAATTATTTTAAACAAACACTTAAATAAAAATTAAGAATATTTTTCTTTGTCTTCTTCTTTGTGTCAAGCAACCTTGTATATAAATACAACTAGAATAAATAAATTAAAATTAAATTTAACAGGTATGAGTCAGTAACATTAAATATATAAGTAAATAAACATGAATAAAATAAATCAAAAAAATAAATATTAGTGGTAAATAGATAATAAAAAATAAATAAATACTATATAAATAATTAATTTGGTGTCGGTATGATTTGATTCTGTAGTATAATGATTTTGGAATCATGTGTCAGATGTTATCTTGCCAAAACTTGGCCACTTCTATTCCTTCCTTTGTCACTGACATGGTATCATCCATTGTACAGGAAGTTGGGCAGCTTTTTAGGTGGGACATGGTCTCAGACTGTCTATAGTCATAATTTGTAACCTCCTCAGGATGATGCCCCATTTTGCTTGGTTTTCTTTAGATCGCCCAACCCCTACTCCCAGTCTATTTAATGCTCTCCCAAGTTGGCCACTTTAAATTGTTCCCTGCAGGTAGGTGTTCGGCCGGTGCCATCCACTTCTTAGTTTCATTGTCTTAGGAGAGTTTCCATCTGTCAATCCTTTCTTGTTCATGATTTTTTTGATTTCTTTCTAATATTTGTGTACACTTAAGAAAGCTCTTCCTTGATTTTAGACAATTAGATGAGGGATTAATACCAAACATTGGATGTAGCTTATCATATTTTTGCTTCGTTCTTTCCCAATCAGTCATGACTCCCCGGCGGATATCAGGATCAGAAAAACCTGCTAGAAAAAAGATTTTCCTGATTGGTGTGCTCATTAAGCAGCCAGTTATAAGGCGATATGATTTCTTAAGTGCTACGTCAACTTGCTTTACGTGTGTAGATCTATTCCAAGCAGGGCTGGCGAATTCACCCACTAAGAAGCACAATGATAAGGCAGAGACTCTTAGTGTGTGAGGATTGACGTCCTAGGTTGACCCAGATAGTTTCCTAATCAAAGAGTTTCTTGCATTTATCTTTTTTCTCGTGTTTTCGCAGTGTTGATTAAAAGTTAGTGAGCGGTCCAGTATTACCCCTAAGTATTTTGGAAAAGTAGTGTGCTCAAGTTCTTTTCCTTGCCATGTAATCTTAAGTTTCTGGTGTGTTTGTCTATTACGTAGATGAAAAGCACATATCTGGGTTTTATCTGGATTAGATTTGAGGTGATTCTTCTAATAATAAGCTAGCATGGACTGAAGAGCAATATTAATCTTACTTTCTACTTCCTCAAAGTTATTATTTTGGATTGCCAGAGTCACGTCATCTGCGTATATGAAGGATTTTGCTGCTGATTGTGTTGGGATAGGTTGGTCGTTTGTATAGACGTTGTATAGTATTGTGGTCAGTACACTGCCCTGAGGGAGCTCGTTCTTCTGGGTTCTCCATCTGCTACTTTTACCCTCCAGGGTTACAAAAAACCGTCTGTTGCGGAGTATTGTCTCAACAACTTTAACTTATGGTCTTCAGTAAGTTTGTACAGTTTCTTCAGAGCTGTGGTTACGTTATGCCGGTAATTTTTTTTCTTCGTAATCAGTTACGATAAATTGAGTTAAGTTGAGAATTTAGCTTTTGTATGATTTCCCAGGCCTAAAGCCCGCTTTTTCCTTAATGAGTTAGTTGTCAACAATAGGGCCTGGTCTATTTAAGATAAGTCTTTCGAAAAGTTTGTACAAGCGGCATAGGAGAGAGACTGGGTGGTAGCTTTTGGGATCTTCGAGGTCCTTCTCAGCTTTTAGTAATGCAATGATCTTTGCTTTCCTCCATATTTTGGGTAACTGGTAGATGTTTACTATTTCATTAAAGAAATCAAGAAGCCAATTTTTGGTGCCCCGTCCAAATTGTTTAATCTGTTCCGTCGTAATATCGTTCAAGCCTGCAGCTTTCCTGTTCTTAAGGTCTTTAATTGTTTGGTGTAATTCTTCTTCTGAAAACTTACCTGTTAGCAATGATGATTGTGATCTCCTATTTTTGTTATATCCTGAATAATTTTTTCTTTTTCCCTTTAAATTCTCTTGGTTGGTCTTACCACTTAGAAGTAGTTGATGAGCCACTTGGTTTAGAATTATTGTCCTTGTATCGTGAGATTTTGTGGGATCACCGTCAAGTCTTTTAATAAGGTCCCACGCTTTCTTGCTACTGTGCTGCTTCTTCTTACTTACTATCGATTTCGTTTAGAAGCGAATGCCAATGTATCCGCTTTGCCTCGGCGATTGTTTGCATGAGTCGTTCACCTTTTTCAAAAGTTTCAACGCTGAAAGGGTTCATATTGAAGAGTGCTGTGTATGTTTCATAATCTTTGAATTGGTCCGGGAATAGGCCAAGAATATAGTTTACTCTGCAGCCTCTAGGAATATGGTTTCTTGATACTTTTTTGATTATTTCAATAAAGGAGTCGTACTGGGTGTGGTATGCGGGAAATGATTTCAATTCAGAGTCTAAATTCCTTGAGAAAGCAGACCAGTTTGCTTTTATGAAATTGAATCTTCTTTTGAAAGGAACTTTAAAGGGTCTAATTCTATCCAGGACTTTACACGATATTGGGTGATGTTGTGAGTGAGGAATGGGTTTATTAAAGTATTTGATGGCTTGTTGTCTGATATTTTTACTCACGAAAATTATATCTGGATTGTATCCTCTCTTCCATCTACCGATATTGAAAGAATAAAGTAGCTTTGGGTCATGAATTAATGATAAATCGTTGTCTTCCGCCCATTTCTCCACTGCCACTCCATCGTCATTTGTGTCCGCATATCCCCAAGCTTCACTATGGCTGCTGAAATCTCCTATTGCTATCTGTGTGTTCTGGTGATCAAAGTTCTTAGGTTTGGTGAACTGGAAAGGGATACATGGGGGCTTATATATTGATGTAATTGTACAGTTTGTCAACTCTATAGTAAGGATTTCTATATCATTATGGTCAGTGTAATCTATTGAGAGGATTTTTAAATCTCTCCTGGCGAATACTGTGCTACCATATTTATTATGAGATCTTTCTATTGCCAGTTTCATGTTCTTAATCGTCGGGCGTATAGTGTTTTTATCCCGGTGGGTGTCTTGAATGCATATGACATCGCATTCATTCTGCATACAAATTTTGGATATAATATCACTTGTTTGTAGAAAATCCTTCAACATTAATTAAGATCATCTTTATTGCGGCTACGGCTAGCCCTGATAAGGGCCTTTTTGAAGTCATATCTATAGAAAAGGAGGTTGCTTGTGGTGTAGAGATTTTATTGCGTACCTTTTAACACAAAGCTAAAAAGGTTCTCTGTGTGCTCAGTGGTAAATCTTTAGTTGATTAACGTTGCCCGGGGTACACTGCGTGGAAGCGATCTACCTTTGTACCCCAGAATATATAGTTAAATAATATAAAATAATACATTTTTAGAATGTCAGTAATTCATTTTTTTGTATTTAATAAATAATTGTATTTGTTCATAAATGTATAATAACTTGATACTTATAATTTTAGGTATTAATGGGTTTTTTGGTAGGAAATGATTTTATTCCTCATTTGCCTGATCTACATATATCAAAAGGAGCTTTGCCAATATTATATAAGGTTTATATGGATGTTCTACCTAAAGTCGGAGGTAATTTTGTATTAGATACAATTATTTTATTAGTTTTTAAGTGTGAAAATCTCCGACAGTAATTATGATTTTATAATAGCTGAATAACACGGTCTTCCCTGGCAGAATTTTTACTATTCCAAATTAGAATAATTACTATTTTGATGTAAAAAATAAAATTTAATCTGTAAAAGCTTACTATTATCTTATATTTTAATGATATTTATTTATATGTTTTTACATTTATTTACAAATTACATTCCTTATGCTATTAAAATACAAATATTAACAGTATGTTAATGTATCTATAATTATTATTTTAATATTAAGAAAACTCATGCGTAACGTAAATTTGAAAAGTTGGTATTGATCATTCATAAGTTTATATATTAATTATATTATAGATAGAACACAGAATGTAATTTTATACTATCAACGAACTTAAGCCTAAACTGCTTGGTATACCATATTAACAATATAAGTTTGTTATACATATACATTTTTTAAATTAAATTATTTGCAAGATAAGTAATACAGAGCTTTGTCCCACTGCATAAATTAGATTAATTAAAATTTCTTCATATAATTAGAACTCTATTTTTGAATGATATTTTATCTGGAAAAATAACAAATTATATTTAAAGTTTAAAAACTATGAAAATGTTCTAATTCTTTACTGTCAATTATTGTATCAATGGAAAAATAATCCAATATTTCTATAAATTCACTAATAATTTGCAAGTTTATTATATGAACTTGATTATATGTATATTTACATAACCATTCGAAGTTAACCTAACTCAAGTACAAATTTTGTATGAGTAATTCTAATGAATTTGACAGTATGACTGTACTACTAATTTGTAGACAATTGTGTTGTACATCTTTATAATTTTAAGTTCCACTACCAATTTGTAGGACTAATTTTGTAAATTTTCTTGCACGTATATATCTATCATTAATAGGACTGGCATATTAATAGTACGAGACAGTTATTTGAATTTTGACTAAATCATAGATGACTTAAGACTCACATTTATCAGTTCTTATTCCTCTTGGAACAACTGTTAATATTAATTAAAAATCTTCCCAAAAATAAAATAAAAATAAAACATTTGAACATAATACATGTTTTTCTCTTTTCTTTTTTGTCCTAAAAAAATGGGTGACATAGAGATACTTAAGAAAATATTTAGAACAACTCTGTAAAAGCATAATAAAGTTCAATAGTGTTTTCAAAAACTTGGCACATTAAAAAGCCCATGTACAAAATTACTTTCATTTTTTCTCAAATTTTCCAATTTTTCTTAACATAAAAACTTTATTTAGACATTTACAAATATTAAAATAAAAAATAAAAATGAGCTAAATTGATTTAGTGTTTATTAAGTGATGCATTCACTAATAAACAGCATTACATTTTTATTAAAAAGATTTCATCAAAATATTGTTTTCATTTATTGAAACTATATAGTATATAAGTATATATATGTATAATTTAGGTTATATGAATGAAAAAGGAACATTAAACCTTAAAAGGTTTCAAAAATTTATGGAAACCTTGGCAAATTTTGATTATGATCAATTCCGAGATACTTATGCTGATATAAAATATTTGGAAGGAAAACGTATGACAGATACTACAACTGTTAAAGTAAATAAAACTAGTCTATTTTACCATTTATACTTAATAATAATGATAAAATTTTCAAAACTAATAAATTGATTTTAAAAAATATATTTTTAGGCTGATGTTGACCCTGCTTACAAAGCTGAATTGGCTGCACTAATAAAAGATACTGAACGAATTGCAAGTTTTTTACTTCATTATTATTACATTTTTAATTACAATTTTTAATTAAAAATTTTGGTCTTAGCTTTTGAGTGATGAAGAAGAAGATTTAGATGAAACCGAAGATGAATCTTTAATGGCAGAATTTAGTTTGCACAAAGAAAATTATTACAGAAACAAACTTGATTATAATGTTGTCACTGAGTAAGATTTTTGTAGTTTTTTGTTTAGGCAATTAAAAATTAATTTAAATTTTTTGTTAAGTGATGTAATGCGCTCACAAGCTGAGGGATATATCAGGGCACTACAATGGAATCTAAATTATTATTACAATGGTTGTTGTTCTTGGTCTTGGTACTATCCGCATCATTATGCGCCATACATATCTGACATCAAAGATTTTGAAAACCTTAAAATACAATTTGATATTGGTCAACCATTTTTGCCATTTCAACAGCTATTAGCAGTGCTACCATCACTGAGTAAAGAACTTCTGCCAAAACCATTTCAAGAATTGATGACTGAAGAAGCTAGTCCAATTAGATTATACTATCCTGAGAAATTCGATACTGATCTTAATGGCAAGAAAAATGAATGGGAAGCTGTTGTACTCATCCCTTTTATTGATGAAGTAAAGAAAAGTTATTCTAACAATTATAATAAAACCTTAATATACTTATAATTAATTTTTTGCTCATGTAAAGGAAACTTTAATTAAATCAATGAAAATGGTTGAACACAAATTAACTCCTGATGAAAAAAAAAGAAATGAACATGGTCCAATGCATAGTTTTAAACGTTCAAAGAAAAATCTTGGTATGTTTATGCTTTATTTAATATTAACAGGAAATTATTATTTAATTTTGTTTAGGTGCGATTTCAATTTCAAAATATTTTCCATCGATTGAAGAAAATTATGCTGATAAAATAGCTATAAATCGTGAAGATATTGCTGTTGACATTGATAATCTTGTTAAAGGTCTATGTCCTGGTGTTCAATTGGATGTTTATCATATTGGTTTTCCATCTCTTCATTTCATTCCAATTACAGTCAGTTAAAATTGTTTTACATTTGAAAGTAATAGTAGTTAAAATAATTGATTAAAATAATAAAATGTCTTAATAGGCTCAATTACAAAGACGTAATGTAAAAGTTTTTCAATCTCCTAGTTTGGGTGAAAATATGATAGTGAAAATTGTTCATAAAGATCCAGGTGATTGTGATAGTATTCAAACTATTGCTAAGGAATTGCTTGGAAATACAGTATATGTAAATTGGCCTCACCTTGAAGAAATGAAGCGAGTTCAATTTTAAATTTTGGAAAATTATAGAAATTAATACAAGTGTTAAATATTTTTCAGGGTTATATCTGTATTAAACACAACTGTTAATATATCAATTAATGAAGAAGAACAATTGATTATACATGAAATGGATGATACAGATGTACAAGAGTTTAATTTATTTTCTAAAAATATTGCTAAAACGTTAGTAATAATATTATATTAAATTATTTTTGTATCAAAACTAACTATATTTAAGTTATTTATAAAATAGATACATTACAACACGTGGTATTGAAATTGGTAAAACTGATGTTATTATACGTGGTCAAACTTTAAGAGGGACCAAGTATGTTCCAAATCATGATGGGAATGGAGTTGTTATTACAAAAGTTGTACGTATTTTGTTACAATATTCAATGAAACTTGGCTCAATGTTTTATTTTGTTCATTAGTGGAGTGATATTACTTCAACAATTGCTTATCAAACAACCGTACCTGGTTTGGAAGTAACGGACTCAAGTACCAAAAAAAAATATTTTGATTTGGAAGAATATTTTCCTCCTGGAAGCACTGTATTCACTCTTGATCCTCCTTTTTTTGGTTGTCAATCAATTGTGGTTGGAGAATATATATCTTCAAGGGTTAAAATTGATATAATGCTGGAACCAGAACCCTATTATCATAATTTAAAAGAATATCTTGAAAATTTTTCAACAGAATTTTTTTATGGTATATGAAGAAAGTTTATTTTCAGAAATTGTTTAAATAATTTAAATGTTTTGTTATTTTAGCCAGTGCTGCAGCATCAAAGCTTTCAATTAATACACATTTAGTAGCTAAAATTACTGGAACAATATTGTTAATGGTTGAAAGTTATGAAGATAGAAATGAAAAAAAAATTAATATTGGGATGAACCTTAAGTCAAATAAACGAAATGAAGAAGTATTAAATATAAAAATAATACTTTTATAAATGTTGTGTATTTATTTAAAAATGTATTTTTAGGTTGTCGGGTATACAAAAAAATTTGAAAATACTTGGATGTATAGTCAAAAAACAATAGATTTGTTAGATGAGTATATTCAAAGGTTCCCAGAAATAATTAATGTTCTATTAAAAACAGAAAGTACTCAGGATACTTTTAAGTTGGAGGAAATGTTTCCAGATCCCAAAACAAGGTATATTATTTTTAGTTAATATATTATAAATAAAATTCAGATTTATTATTTATATTATATAAATATTGTACATATTATACATAGAAAACAAAAATTGGATGACCTTAAGAAGTGGATCGGAGAAATTCGCTCACTAACTAAAGAATGGCAAACATTTGGATCAATGGACCCTTGCAAAGTAGCTGCAATTGAAAAATACATGGATAATTTTAATAAAGAAAACCACCACAGTAAAAAAAGCATTACATTAAATGTGAAACCGCCATGTCTATTTAAAGTAAATTTATTCTCATTAGATAGTATTTTACATTATATAATTAAAAATTATAATTATTTTTTAGCCAGTAACTAAACTTGATAAAATAAAAGCTGATGATGGAACCGATGATCGAATATTAGACCGTGTTATATGTGTTCGATCTTCTTACCAAGTTCCACTTGGATTAAAAGGGATTATAATTAGTAAGTATTTATAAGATATTATTTTAAATAAGAATTTAGTTTATAGTATTTTTAAATTTTGTTTTATAGGTATTTCAAAATCACACATTGATACTGATGTTATATACAGTGTGATATTTGATAAGGAATTCCCAAATGGTATGTCGTTTAATGGTTCTGTTAACCGTGGATATAAATTATGTAGAATGTCATTCATCAACTTGTCTCACGCCATACGTAATGGACAATATAAACCTTTAATGGTTAAGGTAGAAAAAAATTCTAATTCTGAAAAACAGGTTTGATATTTTGTTTTATTTTAATTATTATTAATTTATTTAAATTAATATAATATTAATTTATTAAATTATTTTAATGAATAAATACATAAATCATACAATCATTGTAAAAACGATCAGACTTTCTGATACAGTAAACAGAAGGTTAAGTTTATATGAATTGATTAAATTAGTTTTTTTTTTTTAATTTCAGAACGCTCAAATAAGTATATGGGAACATTTACAGGTTAGTTCAATATTTTTGTTTTAACATTTTATTTACAAATTTTATCTTTAAAATGGTATTTTGTAAAATCCTACTTTTTATTTATTTTTTATTTTAGCATAAATGAGATAAACCTTTTTAAATACATTTTTCCTTTTATCCTATGTTTATTATATTAAAGATGAATTTAAAATTAATACATTTTCAAGTTTTATTTTCATTTTCATTGTTTTCAAATAGTCTAATGGATCAGAACAGAATTCCCAAGAAGAAAAATTCACATTAGCTTCTAAAGTTTCTTGGCGAACATCTCAAGTAAAGTGTTATTATAATTAGCTAAATAAAAATTTTAAAATTACAAGTATTTTATCAGTATTCAATATGCAGTATGTTTTCCAGAAATTATTATATTAATAAATATTTATTGTTTTTAGATTCTGAGTAAAAGGAGGAATGTATTGGATTAACTGTTATATTTTTTTATATTTTTTATTATTGTGTCTTTACAATTTTAACTAAGAAAGTTTCCTCTGATTATAAAAAGAATCAAATCAGATTTGTTTTCCTTGTAATACAAAATTAACATGAAAATTATAGCTAATGCTTACTATTTTCTAAAATCAAAGTGTTGTAATTATATGCAAATTTTGTTTTATAAATTTGATTTGATCAATCTTATTGCTAAAATATTAATTATGTACATACTAATTAAATAATGACAGTAATGTAAACATGTATAACATGTACATAAAGATCTTCCTTTGATCAGAATCATTTTTCTAAACCAAATACTTACATTTCAAATTTATATGAACAATTTACTTTTTTTAGTAATATTAAACTCTTTTAGCTCATCATACCCTCATTTTGCCTTTTGTTATCTTGATTTGGTGTACAGATATATATATACTAACAGGATAATAATTTAAGGATTACTTAGAATTTATTTTTTTTGTATGAGATGTCATAATCAAATGTGATAATAATTGCCCCTGCTTACTATTTTATTATCCAATTACATACCATCATATATATTATAATTTTTGCTTATATAAATTTTTAACAGATTAATTCAGTGTTCAGTCTTTTTTAAAAGCTTTAAAAATTAAAAAGAAAAAAAAAGAATTCCAATATCTTTCTCTTCCGGAAAAGTCTTAAATAGAAAACTTTATCATTTTAACAGCTCTATTTTCAATCATATATTTGCTAAATTCAATTGATAAAATTATGTATTTTGGATATAAATGAAACTAATAAGAAAACTATTCATTATACATCTTTGCTCTAACTCATATTTTCTGAATAATAATGTTTTCTTACATAGGTAATTTATAGAATATCACACTGTAAATCACTACAACAAATGATTAATATTTTTTTTAATTATAGAAAAAAGGACCCCCTAGTGTCAATAAAATTAATAAAATTCTACCAAAACCAGCAGTAAGTTTTTATATTTAATCAAATGGTTTCTTATTGTTTTATAAATTATTTTATGTTATTTATTAAATTAAATGTTTAGGTTTTGGTAAACAATGAACAGGATTCAAACAATAAAATACAGTTAAATGCAGAAGCATGTGTGAGTATTTAATTATCAGTTGTAATAAATAAATGAATTACATTAATATGATTATTTTATTAATATTTAGGAATTTAAAACAATTGCATTGAAAAGAATGTTGAAAATTCAATCAGATGAAAATTCAGTTTCATCTAAAAATCAAGTAAGAGAAAATATAACATTTTTAATTTTTAAAGTTTTATATATAAAATTTGTTGATTATTTATTTTATTAATTTTTTTTAGAATGAAAATCATTCTAAAACACCAATAAATTATCTACTAAATTCTTCCCTTGACGAATCAAAACAAGTAGATACTCTTAGTTCTAATTACAATACTACTGATTTGATAAATGAAAATGTCATTCCAAAAGTTAATAATATAATGGGAAATGCGGTACAACAAGTTGCTAATGTAAGTTATTGTTTGATTTTAAACTAATTAGTAAAAGTAAACAAAATATTATTTAACAGGAAAAATTGATTTCCGTGGAATTAGAAAAATTTTATGCATTGAAAGGATATGGTTTACCTAAATATAGTTGCACAAATTTAATAGATAACAAAGGTTCTAAAATATTTTGTGCCGAATTAATTTTACCTAATGGTGTTACTATACGTGGAGAACCAAAATATTCCAAAATTGAGGTTTTCATTATTTTATATGATTATAATTAATACATAAAAAATATAAAACAATACATTTTACTACTATTTATATTTCTTTACTTAGGCAATTGAGGAAGTTTCATCTCGTGCGTTCACTATTGTTCAACAAATAGATACTAATAAAAATAATGGGTACTCAATACAGAATAAGCCACCAAAACCAGATCGAAGAATTGCTTCACAACAAGGACAACCAAATGTATTTGGGAATTTTTTACCATCTCATCAGCAACATCCTCATTTTCAACAACAGCCATTTTCACAAGTTCCTCAATATTTTGAGCGTCCTCAAAATTCTTTTCAACAATTTCGACCTCCGTTTCAACAGTTTCCACCTGGTTTTTTAGTCCCCAATCAACAATCATATCCGATGCAGTTTCAACAAGTTTACAGACAACAAAATCCTGTGGGATTCCCTGTACAACAACAACCACAGCAGTATGTTTTTAATGTTATATTTAAAAAATAATAATATTTTATTGATCAATACATTATATTTAAAAGGTTTTTCAATAATCCACAAGAAATGCAGTTTCCAAAAGCATTACCAACCTACAGCAGTATGGTAACTCCATCTCAATTGCCTCAGCCACCTGTTCATTGGCAGCCTACACATAGAAACTGTAAATTTGAAAATATGCTTTGATATTAGCTTATTTTTAATGATCTCTTTTTTTAGCTTTGAATAATGAATATGTTATGGGTCCTATGCCACCAAACATTTATCATCCACCTCAACAAAATATAAACTACCAACAGTACCCACCAACAACATCAAATAATGTGTCAACGGTAATAAACAAAACAGTATAGTTACTTTAGTACATTCGATGTAAATGTAAAATAATTTTTAAGAATGAACAGTACATGTCAAGTAACAGAGTAATGATTCCAAGTCCTTCGAGCGCATTTACATCGGCAGCTAATACAAATGACCAGTCCACCACCAATCGTAAAGTTAAAGTAGCCGCAAATTTTAATTCTTCTCAACAATAATAAATGCTCGCTCTATACTTAATTTAATAATTTTTTTCCCTCATCCATCCATAACTTGAAATATTTTAAAATTTAACACTTTGTTCATAGACTAATTCAAAATGTATACAATTATTAAAATGCGGTTTTCATAAGTTGATATAAAATAACAACACTTTTTTTCCAATCAATTATTTTTCTGAATAGTTAGTTGATATAGAACCTAATTCCAGTTTTGTGTGATTTATATATCGTCCCATCATTTAAAAATTTATAATGGGTTCATTAAAAAATGTAAATATAATTTAATTTGTTTATATCAAAATATATAAGAATGTTTTAAAATTTATCTGACATATGTAAATCTGAAGAAAAAAAATATCTAAAATAAATTTCATTTAAATAAAAGTGCAATTATAGTATATTTTTTTTATAATTCTATTCGTATATCAATTCTAAATCCAGTGTGTACATTATTTAATAAAATAGTACATTTTTTAAAATTTTGCTTAACAGTATATTTTAGAAAGATAGATATTGTTCAAGTACATTTATACATTATATAATATGTGTAAATAAGCAAGTGCAAAAGAAGTATTATTTATAATTGGTTGCTTATTTTTAAAGATATTAAATTGTTGAAAATTGTTCATTTTTGTGTAGAATATATTAATACGCCAATGTATATCAATATACATTTTACATTTATTTTTCATGTACTGCTAATTAGGTATATAATTATGAATATTTGAAACAAGTCTATATCTATTTTGATAAATACAAGAATAATTTTCTATCATGATCTGACATAGGAATAAAACAGTTAAGAAATGCGACAACCTAAAATATTGTAAATAACTTGTGAAAGGATTATTAATATTTTACTATACCCCATTTCTCTATTATTTATTAATAAAATGTCACTATTCGAGAATGAACAATTTATCAAAATATTAGAACTCCTATACCGAGTCACAGATAAAGTTCTACCCTATAATATGTATAATGGTCCTTAGTATGAATATGTGATTTAATAGGTTAAATATTCCATTTACTAGTAAATAAGAAAATTAGATAACTTACCTTGGTAAGTCTTTATATATTTAATAAATTGAAAGTTATCCGCGATTTTAAACGAAAATGCCATACCAAGTGATGATTTTTAAAGGAATTGTTAGCGCTTCAATCAGACGCGATCGCGATTATCCAATCTTTACTATAGCTCTTATTTTATATTTTATCTTTGCGTGTGATAGTAATTTAGTCGCGTATCGAAACTTGTACCGAGCATAACGAGCGACTCCACAAGTTTAATAAATAAAATGTATACATTCCACTTATTGGTTTAACTTTTTATTTAAGAAGTTAATCCTAGCGATTCATTACAAAAATAGTATAAGTTATTAAAAAATTACTTGTTTAAATGTGGTTGAAGAACTTAAAGTAGATTTTTATGTTATTGAGTATTATACAGGGGCGTCATTTCAACTTTTGAAAGGGTGGGGCAACTGATTAAATTTGCCGACTTTATAATATTTAAAAAATTATGGTTACCTATCGATAGGATTAATGGAATAATAATATAAATCTAATTAAATAAATACTTATAATTTTATAATTGTATATTTAATACTGTACAGAACTTATTTATAAAAGCATAAAATTGTATCTCGAATATAATGTACCTTAGTTTGGGGTGAATAGGAACGATTTTAACGGTTTTTTTATAGATTATAAGCTTAATTTTTATGGTATCGATAAAGGTCCCCACACACTGTCGCGGTGGCGGTGGCGTTTTACTTGTACACGTATTGTAATGGGAGTCCACACACTGCTGCGGTAATTCGGCCGCGAAAAAATACCGCTGCTACGATATTTTAAAAACCGCAGCATGCTCGATTTCACCGCCACTCAGCGGTATTTTCAATTGACATTCTTAATGTTTCCCCAAAATCAATATTAGCAGTGGCGTAGCCAAGGGGGGGGGGCTAAGGGGACTATAGCCCCCCATGGGCCGTGTTTATATGTATAATGTATCTTGACTATTTAATAGAATCGATGGATGCTCGTTTTAATCAAAGGCTTATTGATGTTATGCCACTTGAAGGACTTATTCCGGCCAATTTAAATATGTATGACGATAAAAATATTATAAAAGCTGCTAAAATATATGTCCAAGATTTCCATGATGATAACTCATCTACAATCAGAGCTGATCTGTTCATATGGAGGCAACAATGGAGTAAAAATACTATTCCAAACCCGAATTCTGCTCTTGATTCACTCTCTCATCGCACCAATCTTCGACCTAACATTAAAATACTTTTACAATCATTCGCCATGTTACCAGTTACCTCTTTCACTCCGGAAAGAACGTTTTCAGCACTTAATCGCTTAAAAAATTTTTTAAGAAGCACCATGTCGGAAAACAGACTGAATGGGTTAGCTATGGCTTATATAAATAAAAAAAGAGCAATTCTATGAAAGTGAAATAATAACTGAATTTGCCAGAAATTCGCCTAAGAGAATGCAGCTGTCAGAGTGGAGCAAGTGACTGAACACTGAAACCAAAATTATTATTAATATTATAAATTATATATTAATAAATATTTTTAAAACTATACTAAAATGCTTGAATTACGTTTAGAAACTTGGTGGTAGATGGTGGGGGGGTCAAGGGTGAATTCTCATATCCTCTCTTACCTTACTTATCCAAAAAAGTAGTTAGCCCCCCCATTTAAAAATCCTAGCTACGCCACTGAATATTAGTACTTCAAATAAATTTTTATTATTAATAATTATTTTAAACTATTTAATATTATACTCTAAGATTATGAAAATACGTATAATTATACGAAATTAAAAATTACTATTTTTTATTGATTATTAACTAACTAACCAACTTCTAATTAATTCGTTTTTATATGTTAGTAAGTGGATACCGTATAATTAAAATGAAGGTACTGTAGGTGCATTAAATATTATTTATAAAACATAATGAAATGTTAAAAATAATAAGGTATTTATTATACCACTTCTCAATTTCTGAGAAAGTGCGTCACGCATATCTAGATTCAATTTGTGTTCGAATGAAATCGAATTTAACAATGTTTATTTTAAGTCAAAATGATTTGAACAAAACGCTTGTGTTTAGTCATAACTGATTTGTGATTAGTGTTGTGATTAACGTGTACAGCGATACAGTGTATTACAGCAAGTAGTAACAGAAAGTTATTATAAACATAATAAATTATCATGTCTCTCTCGAAAAAAGATAATATAGAAAAATTAATAATGATAGTCAAAAACAATCCGATACTGTACGACATGACCCATCCAGAATTTAAGGATGCATGGAAGAAGGATTATATTTGAGATAATGTCATTAGTCCAGATATGTATGGAGAGAAAGGTAAATATGTACTTATATTAATTTATAATATTATAATAATATATAATAATTTGAATATATATTTAAAAGTAATTACAAATATTTAAGTAAAATAAAGTGATTAATAGTTATAATAATTGAAATTATACATTGAAATGAATACATTACTTATATAATCTATTCAATATCATAGAAGACTGTAATTTATACTAGTGGAAAATAATTATAAAATTGACAGTGAATTAAAAAAAATTATCAAGAGTTGAAGAAATCTACGAAATTATCGCGTATTCTTAACGATTTATTTGTTCCTCTCCGATTGTTTATGCTTAGTTCACCCAAGGTACTTATAGAATCATTTTCATCTGGCTCTGTAGTATCGATGCTGCAGTTTTGTACTCGTATAAAATTGTGTAAAATACAAGTAGCCATAATCATTTTAATTGTTGTTTCTTCTTTCACTTCTATTGGTCTATTATAAATTCTCCAATTTTTTGTTAAAATTCCAAATGCGTTCTCAACAACACGCCTCGCTCTGCAGAGTCTATAATTATAATTGTCAAGTCGGATGTTATTATGTGATTGTCTGCGTGGGAAGGGCTTTAATAGGTATGGTTTTAAAGCAAATGCTTCATCACCAATTAGAACCATAGGCGAGTCTTCAACCTGACCTGGTAAAGGCTTATTTGTCGGTAAGTTTAAATTCCCCATTTCCAAGCGCTTACCAATTGCCGATTCTTCTAAAATTCCTCCATTCGAATTACGACCATAGCCTCCAACGTTTAATATATTATTTAGCTTATTGAAAATAGTTCATATAAAATAATCAATGCAATATATTTATTATGAATCTAATATGTATAATAGTATAAGTACTTAATATAGTACTGACGTACTATATAGATAAATCGTCAATTTATCAAATAATATATTGTATGACATAGGCATTAATTAATTAACTATACAATTATTGTATGTAATATATAAATATATTATGTTTATACTGGATAAAATCGCCACCGCCACCGCCGCAATGTGTTCAGGTCTGCGATTTTAATATCGCCACAGTTCAGCCACCGCCACCGCCACCACCACCGCGGCAATGTGTGGGGACCTTAACACGAAAACTGTTTTATAAAGACTATCACATACATAGAAATATATAATATACCAAAAATAAAGTGTAAAAGGTTCGCGTAATAACAATTGTCATAAACCGGAGAGGAGCCAGTGTTTCCCTACTTGTAATAAACCGTAAACGTGTATTTAAAAGAGAATATTATCTGATTTCTGAGTACAAAATAGTAAATAAAAATTTACTATTTACCGATTTTAGCATTTGATCATTGGACAAGAAATTGCTGACTTTTTAAAATTTCTTAGAGTGGGGCATTTGCCATAGTCTGCCCTTCCCCAAATGATGCCCCTGGTATTATATATATAACATGTTGTTTTTACCTACTAAAATACTTACTAAAAATAAAACCCGATGAAAGCATCATTATCGATTTCTATCGTTGCACCTTCGTGTGTTTCCGTGGTCTAATGCAGCGCATCTCAAACTTTTTCAGCCACAGAGGATTTTTTTTAAGAAGTATTTTCTCGTGGAGTTCCAAGAAATATTTAGTATTAAGTTTTATTTGCCTG